ATATAAATATTTCTTAAAAAGAAAACAAACTACACAGGGAGGTCACTGGGGACCCTAATCTGTGCAGTTTCTGAAGATAAAAGCCAGACAGCAGTGGGTGGGAAGAGGAGACAAATGTAAATGACTCTTTGGAGAAGATTAAATGGTATCTGGAAGGCAGCATGGAATCAAGGGATAGCTTTTTAGGTTAAAACTTTTTTATTATTATGGAATATTTTAAACACGCACAGAAGTAGTACAATGACCTCCCCCCCCACCCCAATATACTCATTATTCAGCTTCAACAATGGCCAGTTCTTGGCCTGTGATGTTTCAACCAACCTCCTAACCGCACCTCACCCCACATACCCTGAAGCACCAGGATAGAATTTGGATGATAAAAACAAAAGCATTTTAGGTACTGATGGGAGAGGCATCAGGAGAAATAGAGATTGAAAACGCAAAAGGGAGCACAGAAATGGATTAACGACCCTGAATAAGCAGATGGGACTATGGACTTTCGGGAAAGGGAATTAGAATGAAATGCGGGGAGGCGTTAGCAAATAAGAGTTTGCGTGTGAGGGGAGGAGTCAAGGGAAGGAGGTAACATGAGAAAGCAAGGTTGGTTAAGATACAGGGAGAGTTAGGCCGGGACAGGGACAGGTTTGCTAGCCTGAGTTAGCCTGGTAAGGAAACGGGTTAGCCCACAAGAAAAGAGCTGGAAGAGGTTAATTTCGGGGGAGGCGATGGGATAAAAGAGGTCAGCCCGCAAAAACAGGGGTTAATCTGGACAAAGAGGTGAAGACAACAGGTAAGGCCGAGGGCAGGTGCCCTCTTTATACAGTCCTCCTTCACCTTCAAGGGGAAACATTTCCCAGTGACACTGCAGCCCCACCCTCCTGCCACCTCCGCGCGGCCAGGACCTCACCTTCACCAGTTTCCCTCGCCGCAGTCGCGGTCGTTACGGCCTCCATCTCGATTCTCTATCTGTTACCCGCCGTGGCGAGGTCCTAACACCAATTCCGGACGCAGGTCTCTAGAGGCCACTTCCGACTGAGTACTTTCCTGGGACCGGGTGCTCCACGGCACCAGGAACCAAAGTTCCGGGACAAAGGCAGCCCTTTTTGTGCGCACGCGTGCTGCTGTCTGGCCCCGCCCACCCCAGCAGGGCAGGAAAAGGGCGCCAGGGTCAGATAGGCTCTTCCGTGCCACCCCCACCAACCTGAACCGCTAGGAAATTGTGGGGTATCAGGAGGGAAGCACTGTTTAACCCGTGCATTACTGACCCCAGAGCCGAGCATGCTTCATTTGGGAATGGATGAATCACCATCCTTCATGACCTCTGAGTGCTTGGGCTCTGGTTGACCTCAGTCTATCCTCTTCACCACCTCAAAGAATATTTGCTAAGTCTTGTAGCATGCCTGTCATCACACCCAGTCCCTGGTTAGCATGATTGGTGGTGAGATTAGAGACTGAACGTCTCACTTTGTTTTTCCAGGACCTGAAGAATCTGCAGGTGTGGAAAGGCGACCTTGGTCTTGATTTGCCCTAGGTGATGGGTAAGGACTGGTCAAGACTGGCATTCAAGTGCCCAGTGACCGAATGGGCAGGGCTGATGGACCCACAGGTTCAGCTAAGGGAGCTGTCCATCCCAGCCTGGAGAGCCCAGGGAAAGTGTCTTTCTGGGAGTAAAGGATACCCTGAGACCTGAAAAATGAGCAGGAATTAGGGCAAGAGGGAGGTAGAGAAAGGTCTCATGTAGGAAGTGGGCAAGGCAAAGCCCTGGAAGGGAAGGCAGGTATCCATAGTTCTGTTTGCTGCAAGGACTTCAGTATGGTCAAGGAATAGGAAAGTTCTAACTTGGCCCTGAGCAAACTGCAAGGATCGGAGAATCTCATGAATCTATACAAAGTTCCAAGTACACGTGGGTTTCCAAGGCAGAAGTTCATGGTATTTAGAGCCTAAAAGGGATTTGTGACTCTCCCTGAACAGCCTAGTGGCCTGAAGTTTGAAAGAGGAATGGCAAAAGATAAAGGCAGTGAGGTCACCAGGCCCAGGCATATGGGCCACGTAAGCCGAATTAAGTAGCTTGAGCTCCTTTATCCTGTGGAGAGCTAGAAGAGGGTGAGGGCATCAGGGTAAGGGACTGGAGGACAGCGAGATCTGTGAGGAGGCTGATGCAGTAACCCTGATATTATGGCTGAAAGCAGAGGAGTAACTTCCTATTTGCACTCCCAGGATAAGGGATCTGGAGCAAAGTGGTTCAGTTGCTGCTTGGAATAGATGGGGACTGACCACACTTAGATGTTGCCAAGAGAGGCCAGCAGAGGGCACTCTTGCCCAACACATGGACCTGCGCCTGGGGGAACTTCCCAGCCTAGGCCTCAGGCCCTCTCAGCAGGGAGGCCACTTTAGGGTCACTTGTAGCCCAGAAAGGCATCAACCTTGGCTCCATCTCATGTCAGATGCCTCACATTTGACCTCAAAAGTAGTCAACCTTCCTCCTCCCTTTTTTTATAGCCCATGTCCCCTTCAGAAGGCTCTGAGATAGTTCTGTGAAGGAAGAGGTGGGGCTGAACTGGCTCCTCCTGCGTCCCAGTCTTGTCCTCAAAAGGGGCCAGGAGCACAGCATGCCAGAGGGAATGAAGGAATGACTCAAGTTGCCAGGGAAGGACAGGCTGTGGGGATGCAATCTTTTATTCCAGATCATTCCCACTTAAAATTTTCCTTCTTCAGGAAGCCCTTACAACACCCCTCACCCACCCCAAGCTCTGAGCTGACCTTGATGCTGTCACCATTCCACAAGAGGTCTGTCACCTCTGGACTGGGAGCCCCTTGAGGGCAGGGTCCAAGACCACCTTGGTCATGCTGTGTTCTTAACACTGTCCAGAGTGGGTGGATAAGGAACACAGCAAGAACTGACACTTACTAGCTGAATACATTAGTTCCTGGAACCCCACTAGCCTGATCCAGGAGCAGTCAGGAACCATCTTAAGTCCAGCAACCAGGCCAGACCTAATGTAGATGGGCAGTCACACCAGGGGGTGACCCTAACAGTCCAGCCCTAGTTCCCAAACACCGGCCCTACCTTGCTTTCTGCTGAGGGACCTGTTACGTCCTTTCTATTCACAAATTCTGGGAGAAACTGGGGGCTATGGGTGGACTGAAAGGGGCAGAAACCAGAGAACCACTTTATTATTTTTTTAAAATATGGAACGCTTCACGAATTTGCGTGTCATCCTTGCACAGAGGCCATGCTAATCTTCTCTGTATCGTTCCAATTTTAGTATATGTGCTGCGAAGCGAGCACCAGAGAACCACTTTAAAAGTGAACTAGTGCTCCGGCCTGGTGCACTGGGAAGACCCAGAGGGATCAGGTGGAGAGGGAGGTGGGAGGGGGGACCGGGATGGGGAATACATGTAAATCCATGGCTAATTCATTTCAATGTATGACAAAAAC